TTTGCATCGACATGCGCAGGGTGAACGACTCCTCGATCAAGGACGCCTATCCTCTGCCTAGGATTAACGCCATCCTTGAGAAGCTCCGGCAGGCCAAGTTTATTAGTACCTTGGACCTGAAGCAAGGCTACTGGCAAGTGCCATTGGCCGTCGACAGTCGCCCCGTGACCGCCTTCACTGTGCCAGGCCTAGGCCTTTTTCAGTTCAAGGTCATGCCGTTTGGCCTACACTCTGCCGGTGCCACCTTCCAGCGCCTTCTGGATAGAGTCATCGGGCCTGAGCTGGAGCCGAAGGTCTTCGCGTACCTTGATGACCTTGTGGTAGTGTCGACGTCTTTCGAGGAGCATCTAGAACTTCTGGGGGTTGTATTTCGCCGCCTACGCGAGGCGGGCCTTCGTTTAAACCCCGAGAAGTGTCACTTCGCCCGTAGGGAGCTGAAGTATCTGGGACACATCGTGAGCCAAGATGGAATCGCCACGGATCCTGAGAAGGTCCGCGCCATTCAGGATTTCCCCGCACCCACGAACGTCAAGGGAATTCGCAGTTTCCTAGGCCTTGCGTCGTGGTATCGGCGATTCGTCGAGAAGTTCGCTTCGGTAACCATACCACTTCGAGGTTTGCTGAAGAAGAACGCCAAGTGGCTCTGGGGACCCGAACAAACTAAGGCATTCGAAGCTCTGAAGCACGCCTTGGTGACGGCCCCGATTCTCGCCTGTCCCGACTTCAGCCAACCCTTCGTGCTCCAGGTCGACGCCTCGAATTATGGCCTGGGAGCAGCGTTAACTCAGAGTGTAAACGACCGAGAAGTGGTCGTTGCGTATGCCAGTAGGCTACTCTCTGAGGCCGAACAGAACTACACAACTACCGAGAAGGAGTGTCTCGCTCTCGTGTGGGCTGTTCGGAAATTCAAGGCTTATCTCGAAGGCTACCACTTCATTGCGATAACCGACCATGTCGCCCTAAAATGGCTGCTTAAGCTCAGTGAGCCTAGTGGGCGCCTGGCTCGGTGGGTTATGGAGTTGCAGCAATTCGACTTCGAGATAAGGTACCGCAAGGGGACAGCGAACAAAGTGGCCGACGCCCTATCTCGTCAGCCGGTCCCTGAAGCGCCCAGCTCGTCTGGTGAACCCGATCAACCTACGTTTGAGGTCGGAGTTTTAACCAGACGCGGTGCTAGGAAACAGTTGCGGTTACGACGCCTAACCGATGCTGAAGGTGACGAACCTTCACTCGGCGATGATCCGGCGGGTGACGTTATCGACGACGAAGCTCCTGGTCCGACGCAGCTGGAGACTGACGACCCATCATCCGACGTGGACAACGATGGTAACCCGCCGGGCAGCCACGGTGCTTGGTATGACCGCCTTCGCAACCTGGTCAGCAAACACCCTGGGCGATACTCGAGATACCAGCTTCGCGACGGTAAGCTGTATCGTGCTGTCTCGAAGAAGGATCGACCTACGACATGGAGGGTGTGTGTGCCAAGCGACCAAGTATCCGTGGTACTGCACGAAAACCACGACACGGCTACGGCAGGACATCTTGGGGTGAAGAAGACGTTAGCCCGAGTGGGTGGGGAGTACTTTTGGCCTAACTGGCGTCGTGAGGTGAAGGCCTATGTACGGTCTTGCGCCCAATGCCAGGCCTATAAAGTACCCCAAACGAAACCAGCTGGGAAAATGTACTTCCGACAACCCCAAGGACCGTGGTACGCAGTGTCTGCTGACCTGGTAGGCCCATTGCCTAGATCACAACGGGGTCAGCGATTTCTGCTCGTGGTGCAGGATACCTTCAGCAAATGGACGGAACTCGCCTCCATTGCGTCTGCAACCGCAAAGAATGTGGTGACGAAGCTGAAGGCTGTCCTACTTCGACATGGAGCTCCGGATGTGTTGATTACGGACAATGGCACGCAATTCGTCGGTAAACTGGTTCGAGAGTTGGCTGCTGATTGGGGCATCACGCTACAGACAACGGCCCCCTACAGCCCGCAGTCGAACCCAGTCGAGAGGCAGAACCGGGTGGTGAAGACTATGATTGCGCAGTTCGTGAAAGGCAACCATAGGTCTTGGGACAACCACCTGGTGGAGTTTCAGTACGCCCTCAACACAGCTGTCCACGACTCTACTGGATTCACTCCTGCGATGCTGTGTTTTGGACGCGAACTGAAGCCTCCCTGTGCCGTCCGTGGCCTTTCGTTTGAGGTGTCCGAAACTCCCCAAGGTCCCTCGTTAAGTGAGACCCATCGCAAACGACTGGAGGACTTTCAGCGTCTGATCGCGCAGACACGCAATAACCTCAAGGCTGCCTACGAAAGGCAATCAACATATTATAACCTCCGTCGCAGGGAGGTGACGCACGAAGTCGGCGCGCAGGTGATGAGAAGACTCCACGTCTTCTGCTGCTGACGCCATCGTAGGGAAATTAGCACCAAAATATCATGGCCCCTGCATTGTGGTCGGTCGTCGAGGTACTAATCTCTACGAGGTACGTGATGAGGATACTGCTGCAGTGCACGTCGTTCACGTGAAAGACTTGAAACCTTTCTGTGCACTAGTCTGCAAGGATCCCGCAACCGCAGCGACGTCTGGTGATCCGTTGTTCGTCAGTCCTTTCGGCCACGTCAAGCTGCCGACAAGCAGCCATAGCTAACCCTCGTCTGGGGGTGACGTATCCTCGTGAGTAGCTCTTCGCCCCGCTTCCAAGACTCCGAGCCTGCCGTACTACCCTACCTTTGTAAACCCCACGCCTACTCTTCACCTTTGGTTACTCTTCGCCCCGATTCGTTTTCGTCCAGACCTCTGAGGCAACTCGGCCTCAGACAGTCTACATCATTCCTAATTTCGCCCACTTTTCGTCGTCAACAACCTGGAGCAGCCGGACCAACGGGGTCCGGCATCGGCTTCTGTCAACTTTTCCTGCCCACGATCCTACTGATGTGTCATCTGCAGGAAAGTTCAACAGCTTTTTTTCTTTTTCTCGTTTTTCTTTTTTTTTCGTTCCGAAGTGTGGAGGGGGTGTAACGGGTCGAATGTTTAGGGAGTAAAATAACGATCTAGACCACGAACATTAAACAGCTAAACATAAGCTGTTGAGTAAGCCTAGTCGCGACACTAAACTGACGTCGTACCTAACCTCCAATTCCAAGACCGCAGACGACGTTGGTGTCAGTTTGGTTGTTTGGCTGTTCGACTGCGTCTGAGGCCGGGCTACGGGAGAGAAGATGAGCAGCGGGGTCACCTTTGAGCGGTACGCGGCTGTAAGCCTGTTAAAGCTGCCATGCGCCTGCCTTCGCTGCCAGTTTTTTTTTGTTTCGGTAACTCGTTGACCAATCAGGAATCGTTTTAACTTTCGTCTCGATTCTGAGACAAAGGTGAAGTAAGAAGAAGATTTGTGAAGTTTTTTGGGTTCATTCGTATTCCCGGCTTTTGTTGAGGCATTCGCTAATTATTCGTCCTTTCGTCTTCGATTTGAAGAGTTTTCGTGCTACTACTTCGTCGTAAAAGTCACAGTAAGTTCTGTGGTGCATCGAGTGCGCGAAAAATCGTTTTTTACAGTATTACTACTTCGTTTGGTAAGTTGTACAATAAAACTTAGACAACTTAGGTTTTTCTTTCGGCAGAACTTTGTCGAAGTTCATAGGCTAGGCCTGATTCGCAGACCTCGTCATACGCTTTAACCAACTCATTTAATTAAAGTATCGGAGTTGGTGACAGATCATTTCGATTAACGTTTCGTAATCCATATCTGGGACTTTCTTTTTAAATTCTTAAACCCCTTTGTAAAGTTCCCGAAGTTGGCCCCAGCAGACAGGTTTCTGCTTGATAATTATTGCAGAAGTTTGCTTAAGTTGAACACGTGGGGAAGTTGAAGTTTTAGTTTTTCTTTTTTTCGTATCAGCTCCTGAAGCAGTTTTATTTTTAGTTTCAGTTTTTCTCTCGTTTCGTGTCTCACTTGGACAACTTAAGCCAACTCGTTTTCTTGTATAGTAAATTCAGACTCTGTGGGAGTTAGGCTAGGTTAGGCCTATCTTGTACTAACCTTGTTTGTTTCAGGTTGACGACGTAACTCCGTAGGTAAGCGGAGTGACTACTTAGCTTACTTGTTGATTTGTTAAGTTAGCTAGTAGTGTGTCATTTAGATATTTGCCCACAGAGTCAAGTCAAAATTATTTATTTCCCCACAAGCCCTAGGCTAGAGTGGTGATTTCGAGTAGGGTGTTTAGTAACCCGCAACGTTCGTCTCGAGCTCTGACAACCAGGGCTATCAAATTTAGGCTATCCGAATCACTATCGACTCCTGGGAAACTCCCCGCGACCAGACTAGGGCGAATCCTGGGATCCTCGTTTTATTACCGGTGGCGTAATTTCCCACTTGTCGTCCGCCAGGAAAATTACGTCACATACGTTAATCCACACCAGGGAGTATCGCATCCACAGTGCATGCCTACAGGAGGCTATGGCTCTACTCATCAGCTCGGGCATTCTCCATGAGTTTGTTATAAAATAAAACTACAACAGAGCTGGGATTGGAACTTGCAAATAGTGATTTGTTAGGCCCAAAGAGTACTCAACACTAAGAAATGCTTAGCCATACACCAGACATTCTACTTCAATATAGAGAAAAGAATATGGTTGACTGTCAATTTTCTTGTGTACATTGGGGTTTACAGCAACTATGATAAAATATTGATGAATAATTGTTCAGAATGAAATTCTACTCATAACCCTGTATTTAGAGTCAGTCACAAATTTGCAATGGGTAGTCTATATTTTCCAATTTAGAATTGTAATCAGCAATGTTGATACACAATTTAAAATCACACTTTAAAATTTAGAATCACATTTTCCCTATTAATGTTGATATTTCAGACTAAAATTACAAATTGTATCTATATCTAAAGTTTCAATCTCTACTGGACTGGAAAATGTAATACGAAATACGATAATGTAGAGTTACAAACTATTTCATCTGGTATGCAAAATGAAGTTTACAATCACCTCTTTATCCTTGTGGAAACTGACTTGCCCAGCCTCCATTCCGTCCGTCTTCTTCAGGTTGGACCACATGGTGTAGACAACATCTATGTCGTTCATCTTGTTGCCAGTAATACTGTTGGCCTTGACAAGCTGGGCTGCGTCTTCTAGCACTGCTGATGGAATGTCATCTATTGTCTGGCCCTGCACATTATCATTTCTTATGTAAGCTCTGGGAGGTTACGGGGTAAATTTGTGTTTCCACGTTATAACTTATAAGTGGTTTATAAAACTGGGTTGCAAGCAGGGAACAGTCCACACCCTCTAACAAAAGGTGGTCTTTTTACCATCTAACATTACCCTTTAGTTAAATCATCATTATTAATCGTAGTGTCAATTACTCTTGATTAACACAAGAAGTATCTGAAATTCTTTTTTAAGACCACTAAAATAATCTACAGTAGAGACTTCAGAGAGATATGTAAAACCTCTCCAACATCTCGGACCTAAATTTGCTTATATCCCAGCAGACTTTTGATTTTTTCCAATACAGTATTTCTTTTATGCCACACTACACAGTTTTGACGAACTTCCCACGCGAGGTTTGAGCCCAGAAAACAGCTGTTTGCCGTCAGCTTAATCAAATGGGATTTCATTACGTACTACTGTGCTCACTGTAATGAGTTTTACCAGACATCAACCAGCTGATTATATACTGTATTTTGGCAATGAGTGAGAGTGGTTAGTTTATAAACAAAAACATAACCTCTCTTATAGGTTATGAGTAGCGATTGTTATTCCTTTAGTCGGTAATAATATATAGGGATTTGTACGGATTTAGTAGTATGGCGTAAAATATCGTATGTCACTCGTCCAAAATGTGTTACCGTACTTGTATGGTAATTCCCATACTCGACTTTGTCTCGCACGGGAACGACCACACTCGTCCGGTAAACACCTATTTTCAGGACTAGTAACGTAATATACATAGTGTTCATCTTTTAAGAGTTGAAACATCCAATTTGGGATCTTTTTCAGTGTTGTCTGGTGATTTTCTTACGTCAGGGGATTTTTTAAAAATATTTTTGTAAGAAAACGGTCCAAAACATGGCCTTGTTGCTATCTAACAATGACCTTTTGTTAGAAAGCATCATTAAGATTGAGCCCTTTGGGTATAACCAGTGAATAATTGGTTCGGTCATTAATTATATTTTGACCAATTTAAAAGGTTTTGGAAAACGTATTCTCTGATGGATTTCTTTATTTTTTTCCATGCCGGAGGCATTTTTCGAGAGGCCACGAGAGAATAAATGTTTAATGGATGTGCTGGGAATTGAACAGGTCCCTCCCGTACCGAAGTCCGAAACGCTAACCACTAGGCTAGCAACACACCCAATTTAAATGTTCAAATATTTCAAATATTAATAGTTCAATTCAAGTACTATGTAACACAATTTCTCATCAGAAATCAATTGGATACACTATAACCAATATTTGATCGTGGATTAAATTTTACAGTAATTTACTAGATAAAAAGTGGCCATTCGCAAGAAAGAATTTATGTTTTAATGATCCTGAAATGGTTATTTTTATATTTATAATATACAGAGTGTCCAGCTTCTTCACGAGAAAATCTTGCGGGTTATTTAGTGACAAGAAGGGAACAAGCGGGGGGGTTAGAAATATAATTTTGAAATGTTATATAATATGCCGTCATTCTCTGCCACATTCACGGTCAATGATTTATGTGCAATAAGTTGTATTTTTCAACACTCTTCGAACTTAATACATTATGTTTTTTCATTAAGGGGTACAGGCAAATATGGACACATTTAAACTATTCTTTACACTCTAGCTTTGTACAAGTAGTATTTGTACAAGTTTCATTTTTAAAACACTACATTTCAAAATATTTCTATTGTTAGGACTGAAAACTTTTAAATTCGGCAATATAAAACAAATAGCGTTTTAAACATAGGTTTGGACCCCTTGCCCTAGAAACGTTGGATTACACTGTACAATACCTCTATACAAAAATACTGCTCGCGTAGGCAGGGGAAAATATCTTTAAAAAATCAATCGTGAACCCAGAGGCAGTACTTCCTCAGCAGTATGCAAACTTGCTAGAGGGATGATTGCAAGAAAATATGTTTACAATTTAAGTAAAGTCAAATTCAAATAGTTTATTGCCATTTAGTCCATGTCATACAATAGGCCAGGTCAATGGAGATAATATACAATTCATAGTACAATGTACAGAGTCAAGTGTAAATAGGATGAACATGCTATACTAATAAACTAATAATCTTACGATATTTACGACATAAAGTTTTATTTACGATAGCGGTTTAGTTTTTTACCCACAGTTAAACATTTTGTTACATACTTACAGGCTGCAGACGTAGGTAAACGTGGGCTGAAGAAAGTTTGTCTACATGAAACCAAACATCTTCAGGCCATCCCCATTTTATCAGCTCTTCATCTGAAAAATTAACCGTTTTCAACTTTTGCCAAAACTACATAGGCTACTAAATTGTTTGACCTAACCCTCCATGTTAAACTTGCTTCCCTATCCCAAGCGTGATGTATACAACTTCTTTAGTTCACGAGTGATGTAAAGTTGAAAAAAAACTCACTCGGTGAGGTAATGAAACCCATTTAAATAACATTGAGTGCTTAACTTAAAAAATATACCTCTATGGAGCCAACGACGTTCAACGCTAGAAATCAGCTGTGCGCTTGAATTTTGTTGTTATGCTTTCGCTTTGAGGAATTTTCCTAACCTATCTTTTGTTTGTAAATGAACGTTACTGTTAGAAGATGAGTGAAATGGATAATGAAAAATATTGTTCGTTACCTCCTGTATATTGTTGGGTCAGGTAAAATCTTGTACGTTACGCAAGAGCTTGTTTACATCACTTAGGAGAATTATGCAACTCGCTACCGCTCGTTGCACAATGTTCACCTGCGTGATGTAAAAACGCTCTTACTACACTTCTAATGTAAATAGCTATTACAGCCGTATTAATGGAGAAAAGTCTCACTCCCATGATAGGTAACACATGTATTGTAGTTGAACTAGCTTGTTTTACAGACCTAACAACTATTGTAACAGCGGGTAAACCTCCCGGCTAAATTTAGCCACAGCCTTCTGTGGGTCAGTACAACAAAATATTATTTAACAACATTTCCAGCCTTACTACACTGCATTGCCAAACACTTTGTCTTCACAACATTTGACCCTTCATGTTGTTACACTTTGTCAGCTGTTGGTTATTCTAAAGTGACTCTTTTCGACCTGAGCTCAAGTTTTACAATGAAAAATGGAAAATGAGCGAGGGTTGAAAAGACACTTTTTGCCCGTGTGATGAACTATGTTTTTCATCATATTGCACCATTATTTGAACAAACTATGTTACAAAACTAAAATTGTTTTTATTCAAAGATAAACTTTCAAAACTAACTTGTTTCCAATTAAATTTGCTAATGGAAACGAGCACAGGGTGTCCACTACATTATGGATAAAAAATTCATGGACAATTCCTGTACATTTAAGGACACTTTGTCGCAACCTTTGTTGGTACGATTACCGAATATATTTTCCTGATTTGTCAAAGTGTATTAATCTTGTTCTTCACTGTAGTTGTACCAGAGAGAAAAGTAAATAATAATAGACAAGAGTTAAATATTTTCTTAAATACCTCCGCCGCAGAAACCCTGCAGACTAAGTGAATTTCCATTTACCTGGCTGGATTTCTACTAAAATATACCTTGAATATTGTTAGATTTATTTCCTATTTAAATTACATTAATTTTAATGAGTACCTAGGTTTAGTGCTACAGGGAAGGAATTAAGGTGTGTTTTTATTGAAATGTTGATAGCTTAGTATGAAATAAACAAAATTTCCAAATTTTATTAAAATAATATCCATAAACAAGCAACTACAACTGTTTAATTATTCTCTATAAGAATAACATGAGAATTTTAAATTTAAAGTTTTTTAAATTATCTCCGTAACCGTTAGGCATACAACAACCCTTCAATATGCAAAATTATTTCTTTGTTTAAGCTCTACAAAATGGCCTGGAAAGAAATTGTAAAATTTTATGTTTTTAGAGTCAAAAATGGGAAAACAAATTTTTACCCCCATAAAACCCTCTATAAACCCCCGTTCCCATAGTCCGATCATGCTGATTCGCGAACTCGTTTGAATAAATTTAGGTTTACACGTTTCTACCGAATTTCATCAAAATCGGATAATTTTTGCTCAAGTTATCGCGCTAACGGACACATATATGTGACTTTGAACAGAGCAGAGGGTGTTTTTGGTCTCTGGGGACCTCAAAACAACAGCTGATTTATTTTACTCTTTATGGGCTACAAACGCTTATTACACCCTAGAGAGTAAAAATGCTACTTTAGACCCGCTACGCATGCATTAAAAACAGCAGTTTATTCTGCAGTATGAAGAAATTGTTTACTTAGTTTTTAACCCTTTTTTACACATTTTCACATTTATAAAAACCCTCAATACATCTAACGCAACAACTCTCTCTCTATATATATATTATTATTATCGATAATTCCCCTTTAGGAGAGCACTAAAACACAATCATCATCATCATGGTCTCTTTTTCCGTATTTTCCTTCTTTCTTCCCAAACACCTGTCATGTATTCACTGTGTTCTCTCTTCATTTCTTCTGTCCACTTATTTCCAATCCTTTTCTTTTTAGGTGTTTCTGTGAACTTATGTTTTCTGATTTTTTTCTCTGGACTCACTCCTGCTTGATATATCTTCTTCAGAGATGTTTAGCTTTACAAGATATATTATACATAAAATAAATTAATTTTAATAGGTTGAGACATTTTAAAATAGTAAATAATGTGATGATTCACAGATCAGCAACTTACTTTCATATTTGTCAAGTCCCATAAAGAGTGTAACAGGTGGCGAAACAGCTGTAAAAGAAAAAAATACTTTTTAAAATCCTAAAATGTTTTAAAATGAAGATCTTAAATCACAAAGTGTACAATTTACAGAAATGCTCATTAACAAGGGTACTTGCACAATGAAAAGGGCCTTGTCAGGGAGTCTACCTTACTTTGATTGCAGTACCCTATGTTGTACAATATGTCCCTCTCATTCTGGACTGGACCTTTGCATACAATTAAAACAAAGTCTGAAATATTATAGAAGTTGATTCAAATTTAAATGAAGGCCTAAGGTTACATTTTAAAGCCAGATTATGTGTGCAAATCTAGTAAACTGTAATTTAGTAAAAAGTTTATACTAAACAACAAAGGTCAAATATTTAATCCGACTCTGACCGTAGTGTATTAACTTAAATCTGAAATCAATTGTATATTTCTCAATTTGTAATTATCCAAGTTACTTAAATATTAAATCTGCTAGCTCGATCCATGTACTGTTAGATATCATACGATGTGAGATGTGACATCATACAGCCTGATCAAATAAACCCCATTGGTTGTTCCATCACACCATCTTCCATTCCCACTGCTACCACAATCACCCAACACTCTCTGTACCTCCAGTCGTTGTCCTACCTCACGGGCTCCCATCTCCCACACGCCAATGCGGTTTTCTTGTCTTTTATTTCGAGCACCCGATTCTTTGATCGCATCTAGGTCTGGATCGAACAGACTACCGCATTATCGATAGTTACAATACCTCTTAAATAAGTATTAATGAAAGGACCTGTGCGCAAGTTGTGCATCTTAATAGGGTTCAAAACTTGTTTTTTTTAGGCAAATTGAATAAAGCAGTAGGCCTAGACCATTTTAGCACCTTTCAAAGATCATGTTTGTTTATCAGCTATTTCATGAATAAAACAACCTGTTTACTATAAATTAAATGTATTGACTTTAGTTCTACACCATAAAGTGTGATTTACCTGCCTTTTAATCAGTTATAAAAGTTCACAAAAAGTAACCTATTTAAATGTCGCTTTCATAAACTGTTTTGTCTCTTATTTACAACTAGCAGTTACCCAGCGCGCGTTGCTGCGCTAAAAAAATACATCTGTCTGTGTGAAAAGCATGTTTTTTTCTACATTTAAACCGACGATAGTCAGGGATTGCCCTAGTGCCTTATAATGGTGATTGCAAAAGCAAGACACTAAGGAAATTGTAGTTGCTTAAATTGAGAGGGTAATTCGGATGAAATCATCAGTATTCTTATGATTAATACTATTTCTCCCTTAAACCTACCTCTGATAATTTTTGCTTTAATCAATTTTGACGTCATTTTTTAAATCGTTAGTCTGGTAAAGTTGGACAGCTTAAGTGGATTTAAGTTTCCCATTAGTATTATTGGAGTTCCTTCTTTTAATGACAGTAATGTGGTGGGTTGATGACAAATTGAGAGGCATTTGAATACCCGAGATAGCACGCACGATTATTATTAACTTAATAATTTATGTTAGATTGTGTGGGTATAGAACGAAAGATAAAAATATTAAGGCATTGTCATCCCTTTTATTGTTTACTAGCTGTACCCGCGGGCTTTGCCCCGTTTAACTTCTTAATTTTCAAGATGATCTCGTTCGAATGGCTCAATCACGTCCTGGTTGAAGTTCGTTCGCTACGCTCACTCACCTTTAGGTTGGAGCTCGTTCGCTGCGCTCACTTGCCTTAAGGTTAGCTCGTTCGCTACGCTAACTCGTCTCCAGGTTGAAGTTCGTTCGCTACGCTCACTCACCTTTTGGTTGCAAATTAGCTGTTGTCATAAATTAAAATTAATAATAGTGCTGCACCCTGTTGGTAATCATTGTAACTTTAATGCAATTGAACATCATAGAACAGAACCAACTTGTTTAATTGAAACAGCTGTTAAGATTCATTAATTCCTTTTAAATATAAAAAATCATAAGGCTAACATGGGAAACTCCAGAGCCACTGGGGTGGAGCCCGAGAGTCCGATCAGAATAAAAACAACTTAGTTTTCCTATTTAATGCCTAAAGAATCAATGTACCAAATTTCAGCCTCCTAGGTAAATGGGAAGTGGGAGAATTAGTGATGAGTGAGTGAGTCAGTGAGGGCTTTGCCTTTTATAAGTATAGATAATACTTTGATAAAGGTTTTTATGTTTTTAATATTTAACATTGGAGAATTTAAAAGTTGTTGAGTGCACAGGTGTGCTGCGATTGGGGCTTAATACATTTGGACTAATTCAAAAGTAAAATAGTTTTCTGTGCTGCACTCTGTAGAAACACTGTGGCACTATTTCAAATCATGCTAATACAGAATGTTGTGATTATTCAAACTTTCAAAACAGTTGGTGAAAGTTAACATCTGCTTTTAAATTATATTTATTTGTAAACATTGTAGATAAAAAAGTCTGACATTGGCAGACTTAAAACCCTCTGGGGCAGAGCCCTTTTGACGGATCTGCACTAAACTTAACTCGAACTATCCTTGATAGATGCTTAATAATGCCTGAAAGTTTCATTACAATCTGTTGAGCGGTTTCGGAGTCCATAACGTATATACACACATACATACATAGTTCCTCTTTTATACAGGGTGAATAAAAAGTCAAGACCCCCCCCATCTAATATTTTTCCAAGTATACAGAGATATCCTTTTGGTGGTCATGCAATCTTAGCAGGAAGTTTCATTTTATGATTTTGAATTTTTTTTAGTGTCCCCCCAATCAAATATTTTAAATGTAAACCCCATGCAAGTGACACCTCATTTTGAAACTAGCGTCTAGACTGCCAGTGCAACTCCGAGGATCGTGGATCAGAGAGACGCTGTGGCACCACGGCACCATGTCGTACGCTTCCGAATCATACCGGCGCATCAGCATAGCTTATCTAACTGTTCGCGGAAAATTGTTATCTGTATCACTGTCGCTGTCAAAACGTATAATTTGTAGGTAAATTTAAATCAAATATAATTAAACTAGCATAACCTAACCAAACTTGCTGATAATGATAAACTCGAATGAAGGTTTACTAATCGAAAAAATAGCTCTGTTCTAAAAATAAAATTATAAATGTCTCAAATTCAATTTTATAATTTTTTAATTATAAAATTAAACTGTCATAACCTAACCAAACCAACCAAACTTGCTGATATGAAAAAAATTGTTGACAAAAAGTTAGTGCAACCAGCGGGATTCGAACCCGGCACCTTCGGATTATCAGCCCGGCACGCTATCCACTACACCACCAGGCTCATGACTCAACTCCGTATCGTTGCAGTAATGGTTGACATCACACCATCGGCACGGAGCGGTGGTGGGGGGTTTTTCGATCTGATCCACGATCCTAGGAGTTGCACTGGCAGTCTAGATGCTTATCATTTTGAAGGGTTTACAAAAACTTAAAGAATGGTGAAAACTAGAGGTCGCTATCTCTTCTCTATCCAAAATGGTAGCCCGTAAAATGTTGTGGAAAATCAATAGTAAAATTGGTTTGTATTGGTAAAATTGGCTACCATTTTGGATAGAGAAGAGATAGCGAACTCTGGTTTTCATCTTTTTTTAAGTTTTTGTAAACGCTTCAAAACAAAGTATCACTAAATGGGGATTTACATTTAAAAGCTTTGAGTGCCCCCCCAAAAGGGGGATTAGGGGGGCAACTAAAGATTTTTCAATGTTGAATATTGAATATTAAATATTGAATCTTTCTCAACAAATTCTTGGATCCTCACCTGATAATGATCGTTTGGTTAGAAACCATGACAATTTCAGATAGAAATAAATGCAATAAAAAATATATGATATAAAAAATATAGAAATCAGAATCTTTATTGCCGTTGATCAAATACATTGAGATAGGCATTGTCAAATTAGGGCTAAATCTTTACATAGTAAATCATACAAAGTCACATAGTAAATAGGCTTAATCTAATGGCTAGATTATATAGTCATATCATATATCTAATATATAAAATTCTCGTGTCACAGTGTTTGTCTGCAAACTCCTCCGGAACGACTTCACCGATCGTTATGAAATTTGGTGTGTAAATTCTGTAGGTATGCGAATAGGAAGTAAACTACTTCCCGTTTCGAAATTCTTAAAAGGGCTCCGCCCCAGTGGCTCTGGAGTTTCCCATGTTAACCTTATGAGAAATGGAATTAATGAATCTTAACAGCTGTTTCAATTAAACAAGTTGGTTCTGTTCTATGATGTTCAATAGCATTAAAGTTACAAGGATTACCAACAGGGTGCAGCACTATTATTTCTTTTACATTTATGACAACAGCTAATTTGCAACCAAAAGGTGAGTGAGCGTAGCGAACGAACTTCAACCTGGAAGCGAGGTGGCGTAGCGAACGAGCTAACCTGAAGGCAAGTGAGCGCAGCGAACGAGCTCCAACCTAAAGGTGAGTGAGCGTAGCGAACGAGCTCCAACCCAAAGGTGAGTGAGCGTAGCGAACGAACTTCAACCAGGACGTGATTGAGCGATGCGAACATCTAACCTGAAGGCAAGTGAGCGCAGCGAACGAGCTCCAACCTAAAGGTGACTGAGCGTAGCGAACGAGCTCCAACCCAAAGGTGAGTGAGCGTAGCGAACGAACTTCAACCAGGACGTGGTTGAGCGATGCGAACGAGATCATCTTGAAAATTAAACGTAACGGTACTTAAATTAAAAATAGTCAAAGGCAAGACAACAGACAACGTCTGACGGGTTTTCCATCGGTCTGTCTTAGGGGAAACCTATAACTTAGGCGATACGAAGTTCGCCGGGTCAGCTAGTAGATTATATATTATATAGTCATTTTTATAATAGTCATATCTAAAAATTCTTTAAGAGTGTAAAATGGATTTTCTAACAGCCATGAGTAAACTTTTGACTTGAAAATGAGTATATATAGTTGTTGTCGACAAGGAGCAGAGAGGGGATCAGGGGTAGATGGTGCGGGCAGCGGCCCTCCATTCTACACCCTACACACGCCTGTAAAAATACAAAAAACGACTTTGACCTT